TGTGCTCCCATTCCTCAAAGATCTCCATCTTTCCCACGTATGTAGCACCGGATCTTTTTGAACAGCACAGAATTCCCAGCAGCTCCCACTGATAAAATATTCCATGACAGCTTGGGAACATGCAGTGCACCATACATTGTGACATCTTTGACATTACTAACTCTGAAAGTCATTCTCATTTTAACGTTGCCGAGTCCTTGTGCATCGACTACTCTACCATCGCCAAGTCTCACTATTTGTGACTTTGTGAATTCCTGTTAATCCTGTAGTATTTCCTTTTAGCATGTCATGTGTCTTGACGCTCCAGAATCGATCAGCCATTTGACTTGTTTCCCTTTTTCACCCTGATTATTCTCTCTGGCAACAAATGCACTTTCAGATGCACTCAGAATTTTCATCCTCCTCACATGTAATTTGTTTTGCTTTGCGGGTTTGATTTTTATTTCTTATCTTTGGACAATTTCGTTTCAGATGTCCCTCCTTCCCACATTTAAAACATTTCAAATTGGATCTGTCAATTCCCTCCGGCTGTGGATCCCCAAGCACTTGAGTTTTCATTGCAGATGTGCCACCTGGTGTTGCACCACTGGTACTATCATTTGCCTCAAAGCATTTTTGTTCCTCCTTTACTAATGATTGGTGCACGAATTGAAGAGTCAAACTGTCCATCTTTGTTTCCAGAGCAGTGACAATTGTTGCATAGCTGGGTGGAAGATTACCTAGCAATGTCACAATCTGATCCTCCTCCTCAATTACAGCACCAATAGCACTGAGTTGATCAGTTAATTCTTTCATACATTTCAAATGCTCGGTTATCGTTTCTCCTTCGTTTATTTCACACCTGAAGTACTTCTTCTTTAGAAACAATTTATTTGCTATAGTGTCTCTCTCAAAATGAACCTTCAGCGTATACCACGCTTCTTTAGGTGACTGGCAACTTGTAATCAGGTACAGTTGATATGTACTTACATTAAGTAACAACATTGAAAAGGCCTTTTCTTTCCTTCTAGCGAATTCGGCTCGAGCAGCTGCATTAGCATCTGGCGCTAATGTTTCCGTCTCCATTACCATGCCCCATAGACTTCTAGCTTTCAGCAGACACTCCATCTGGAATTTCCACGTAGCCCAGTTGTCTGGTCCATTTAGCTTGTCGATAAAAAGTCTGTCCTCCATTGTGAATCCCACAACACCGAGTACTCCACACAGAATCCGTCTAAAACCACTGTTTTAAGCTCTTTTACTGGAACTGACTGGGACCGACTGGGCCCATAACCTGTTGAAGTTTTACAAGCATTTATTGAACTGAAAAACACAGAACATACATAGCACCACAAGGTGGCAGTATTTCACATCCTGACCTGTATTGTCAAATTACTGTATTACAACAACATAGTCCCTCCAGCGTGTCCTGGGTCTCCTCCCGGTGGGACGTGCCTGGAACACCTCACCAGGGAGATGTCCAGGAGGCATCCTACTCAGATGCTAGAGTCACCTCAACTGGCTCCTCTA